AAGGGGGAGTCAGAGCCCCACCTGCCTTTAAAGCCCTAAACCCTAAACCCTAAACCCCAAACGCCTTTAAAGGAGCCCCTAAACCCCTAAACCCCCTAACCCCTAAACCCTAAACCCTAAACCCCCTTTTTTGCAAGGTTTGCCATCCCTAAACCCCCTTGCAAGGTTTCTCAACCCTAAACCCTAAACCCTAAACCTCCTTTTGCAAGGTTTCTAAACCCTAAACCCCAAACTCCCTTTTGCAAGGTTTCTCAACCCTAAACCCTAAACCCCCTTTGGCAAGGTTTCCCAACCCTAAACCCCCTTTTGCAAGGTTTCTCAACCCTAAACCCTAAACCCTAAACCCTAAACCCCCTTTTGCAAGGTTTCTCAACCCTAAACCCTAAACCCCCTTTGGCAAGGTTTCCCAACCCTAAACCCCCTTTTGCAAGGTTTCTCAACCCTAAACCCTAAACCTTAAACCCTAAACCCCCTTTTGCAAGGTTTCTAAACCCTAAACTCCCTTTTGCAAGGTTTCTCAACCCTAAACCCTAAACCCCCTTTGGCAAGGTTTGCCATCCCTAAACCCTCTTGCAAGGTTTCTCAACCCTAAACCCTAAACCCTAAACCCCCTTTTTGCAAGGTTTGCCATCCCTAAACCCCCTTGCAACCCTAAACCTTAAACCCTAAACCCCCTTTTTTGCAAGGTTTGCCATCCTGACCCGCAACTTCGAGAGTGCCTCTCTCCTTCTCTCGACCCGGGCATCTCCGCATCTACGAAACTCGGTCAGAGTTGGGCAAGGGGTTTGGGGTTTAGGGTGTAGGGGGGGTTTAGGAAGGGTTTAGGGTTTAGGGTTTAGGAAGGGTTTAGGGTTAAGGGCAAGGTTTTACATTTTAATGGCTACTTAAACTCAGTAAGGATTAGAAATGAAGATTTTTGGTATTATTCCAAGCATGAACTAGGAAACTCTCGCAAGACATCCGCGCTGGATCTTGCTCAAGCTGCCGAGATCGTTTAAGGTTTAGGGTTTTGGGCGTAAGGTGTAGCGTTTAGAGGGTCCAATACCCAACCTTTGTCGTCGGTTTTAGGGTTTCGGGTCGAATTTTTTGATAACTAATACCAGGGACCGAGACCCTGAACCTATAGTCGTAGTATTCTGGAGCCCTAAACCCTAAACCCTAAACTAAACCCTAAACCCTAAACCCAAAACCCTAAACCGTGGTGGGGTGGTCAGCCAAGCCTTGCTAGAAGGGGTCGTTCTGGGCTGGGAAGTTCCTAAAGCCGACACTCCCAAACCCTAGAATCCTAGAAGCCCTAAGCCCTAAAGCCTTATTTAATCCCTTAGCTTGCCTGGGCAGTACCAGGGACTCCCAAACCGCCTTACTACGGAATATACTGTAGATTTTATCAGGGTTCCTGTGCGAGTTTAAATGAAATTCCTGAATTAAGCGGTTTGGAAATGTTTGGGAACCAAAAAAACCATCCTAAAGCCCGAAATCCCCCAAAAACCCGAAGTTCCCCCTAAAATTACACGGCCCTAAATCCAAAAAACCAAGCCCTAAACCCTAATGCTCCATCCATGTACCCTTGTAATGTGTACCCTAGGCCGTAAAGGGGCTCCGGTAGAGGTACTTAAATCCTTACCCTAACAGTCCAAGTACCTAATGATCATATACTCTCCCAAATAGTAACCTACATAACTACTATCCGCAACCTAAGTACTTGATTGTTGGGGTCATTTGGACCCTTGGGGCATTGTAGAAGTAAGGTCTTCAAACAAGTCGGCACAGTCATTGCTTGGGTAGATACCGGTTTAGGATTTTAGGGTTTAGGGGTTAGGGGTCAGGGTTTAAGGGTTT